TCCGGGGCTGCTGGTTAGTTGTTTATAATTCTTGGCCTACCTGCACCCCCTGGGGCACTATCAGCTCAGCAACAAACAGCCTGGTTTCCATGCTAGTGTTGTCGTGACTCTAAAACCCTGCCCTGCCACGGTCCTGCCATTGCACTCTTCCGCCCCCATCCTTCTCCCTGTCCCATCTGAAACGGAGACTGCTGCGCATCTCGGTTTTGTTGTCTGGTACACACAAAACCTACCTATCCCCTCTCAGCGAATCTGGTCTGGCGAGAACCCAACAGCGTTGCAGATTACGGAGACTTTACTTCTTCTGCACGGTTCTATGCATTTTGTGGCAAACATTGGACCTGTGAAGCGATACAGTCTGGGAATGGCGAGGTCGACCCGAATTACAAGCGTGTTACGGTCATTTGCGCCATGAGTATCATCCTTTAGATGCTACCTTCGTTCTTCCCCCATTTACCCGCAACCAGTGCAGGGTAACTCGCAAGTGAGCCCGCTTGATGCGGACTTAATACTGTCATTGCAGAATCTCCATTCTTTGAACGCCTAATTTCGAGTGTGTCATCTGTTTCAGCCCTTCAGCCCTCCAGCCCTCCAGCCCTTCCTGTTCTCACCCCCCCGGCCGGGCAGCGATCGACCTACTATTTACGGAGGGGCAATCGTGCTTCTCGAACGGCGAACCCAGAAACAAGCTGCAACACCAACCTTTGTTTGTCTCTTACTAGCATCAAAATTGTATTACTTGCTGGCCTGCTGACAGTAGTGTCTCCTTGAATCTGAACGGCTGGAGGCAACTTGGTAGGTTGACACGCCTTTTTGGAAAACATCGAGTACAATGACGTGGTTGCTAATCCCCTTCCCATCTTGGTAGGCTCGCTTTCTACACATTTCTCCTCTCCTGAAGTACGAGGATTCACCGGTCAAAGCCAAGAAGCCGTTTCTGTAGGGGCTCTGCCTCGTTATCACAGGACCCGAGTCGCGGATTCTGATGCTGTCCGGCGGGATTTAGGTGCTACCCTCGAATAAATTTGGACACCATAGTCACCCACAATGTCTGCTTTCCCAGCGGGCTCCTTCAGCAACATGTCGCCTGCTATAGATTCCACGTCGCAGCGACAGTCTGATCGCCCAGCTGATCCTTCAGTGCTAGCATCCCACCCGTACCAACTCCCACCCCCTCGCACTTCTGCTCCCTTGCCTTTTGGGACAGCTCCGTTTCTACATCAACGCAACCAAGCAGAAGGTCGCGAGCTGGAAGAAACATCTCTGGGTCGCTCAAAGATTCCAGGCCAGCAGCAGACGGCCAATGAACAGCTTCCGCCAGTTAGCCAGTTGTTGACCCCCACAGCCCATCCAAGCCGTCCATCATCTCCCTACCAACCTCACCGATTTGGCATCTATACACCCCCAAATGGCAGCACAGCATCACCGACGCCGTTCCGACAGAGCGACTCTTTACCACGACCTAGCCTACACGAAAGCCCTCGGGCTTATCCCGAAAATCTCCCGCATTCACATACCAGGAGTCTCCCACCCCTAGCCCATCTCTCCACACCGGGCCTAGCACGTGAAGGTCCGCTACATCCTATTCATACTGGATCTCCTGTACAAACCAGTCAAAATGCATCGTATCCGTACTACGGTTTCAACTCCCCGGAGAAGGAGTATACCAGAGACTTTTCTCCCAGTGAGACTCCCGATTCTGCAGCAACAAACAACCCCTCTCACACATCCAATGTGCGTTCGCATGTGGTGGATGAGAGATATGTGGAGGGCGAAGGTCTCTGCTACATTTACGCAGACGGTTCGCATTGTCCCAAGATCATCGACGGAGTTCCGGTCAATGCAAATTGGGGGATCACCAAAGCCGGCAAACCGAGGAAGCGACTCGCGCAGGCCTGCTTAACCTGCAGAGAAAAGAAAATTAAATGCCAACCGAATCTTCCCAAATGCGACCAATGTCAGAAGTCTGGGAGGGAATGCAGATTCGAGAGCGCGTAAGTCTTTGGCAATGGTGTCTTGACGACCCTTGGTTAAAGTGACTAACCTGTCTTGGTTTTGACACTAGTCCCCGCGGCCATCGTGCGGCCCTAAAGGCGACACAACTTGCGAGTCGATACGAACCACGAGAGAGCCTCCCCCCTGGCAGCTATGCTTATGGCGCAGCATCCCAGTCCCCGTACTCTGCGATCCGGGCTTCGGAGAGTTCGGCCTCCCTCCCGAACACCAGTTCTCAATCGCCGAGATCTGAAGTATCGATGTTGACACCCTCCGCCATGGAAGGCCCCCAAGATAGTGTAATGGACCACGAGCAGTACAGGCTCAGAATGCCGGGTCATGGTCGGCTATCCATTGGAGCGGAGGACACTGCTAGACGTCTAGCCGATGACGTTTCGCTTGGGTCTCATGACTACTCCGACATCCTCATGGAGATGAAGGATCTGGACCCTCAAGACCCTCTTGTATCCGACTGGCATACAGATCCGTTCGAGGCAGACCCAGAGGCCGCAGTTCATTATGTGGAGAGCTATTTCACCCATGTGAACGACCGCCTATACTACATGTTCCCGCGGAAACGGTTTCTGTTGTGGCTGCGGTCGTGCAATACCAAGACCTCAGATGATACTATGCTGCTGTACTCGATGATGACGCTCGGGGCGGTATTTTCCGATCGGCCCGACAAGGTGGCGGCGCTCAAGAGGTATTCACGCACGGCTCGGTATGCCGTTGAACACAGTCGACACGCCCTGACTCTGCAGCTTGCTCAAAGCCGCATCATCGTCGGCCTTTGGTACTACGCCATAGGTTCCTTGGTGCCAGCTTGGGATGCAATTGGGTCGGCAGTTCGGACAGTGTGCGGACTCCGGTATAATGTTGAGTCGGGTGGGGTCATTGTCGACCAAGGCCGGCCCTGCGAATATGGCTTGCATCCCCAGGCGCTGATCGAGTGTCGCAGGCGGACTTTTTGGGTCGCTTACCTCATGGACGTGAGTAGCTCAAGACATTTCCCGCTGTTCATTAGGCTCCGACTAATCATCCTGCTAGCGCATGACTTGTTTCTTTACGCCCTCCTCGACTTTCATCTCGGCCCAGGCGGCCTATCTGAGACTTCCTTGCCGGGAAGAAGTATACGAGGCGCAGGAGTATACCACCGTGCCCTATTTCCAAAGCTTCCTTAATCAAGTACCAGCATCGCCCGAGAATGATAACGCCAGTTTGAGTGCTATGGCATTACAGGTTGAGATCTTGTCACTTTGGGGAGACGTATCTGACCACGTTTTCCGATTGTCCTTGGTGCCAGCCGAGGCATACAATCAGCTCTTCGACGAATTCTACGTGAAGGTCGCCGGACGCGTCGATGAATGGGCCGCACGTCTCCCCGATCATCTGACCTTCTCGGCTGTGAATATGGAACGAAGCATCCGAACAAAGAAAGCGGATGCGTTCATGTCACTCCATCTACTTTATCATGCAACTCTGATGGCGCTGAATCGGTATGCTCGGTACCAAAACATCCGCGCGGAAACCATAGAGCGACATATCCGCAACACGCGGACCCATGCAATAAAGATCCTCCAGATCTCGCTCGCCCTTATGCGTTGTGCTGCAGACTACGAGCCTTCTCGTATCGTTCTGGAGCCGGAAACGGCGCGAGGAACCATTTTGAACCCATTCCTCGGATACGTGATTGTGTCAGCGACAGATGTCCACAGTGCGGCTGGACTGATGACTGATTTGCCGGAGAGGGTGAATCTGATCCGTGGGGCCTTGGAGGCTGTGCGAGAGCTGGCGCGCTTCTGGGGCGGTGCCATGCCCCTGGCGACGTTAATAGAAAAGCGTCTAGAGGCTATGAATGAAAGTCTGCAGCAACAGGCTGGTTTCGACCGGAAGGCGGCGTTTTTCGTGCACGGCCCATCGCTGGATAGCCAGGTGCGCGCAGGAGTGCAGCAGCAGCCAGATTTGGCGACGAACGAAGACCTATTGTATGGCGGTCTCCCCCGGGAGCAATTGTTCGGCGCACTGGGAGCGGGCGACGTTCCCTTCTCGGATGAGACGGTCCTTTGGATTAGAGAGAGGAGCTGATAGCTCTTCAACCCCTTGTTGGGATGTAACTTTTCTTGCATTATGAGCGGATATACAAAAGCTGTTGCAGTTGTGTTTTAGCAGGTTATACCCGGGAGGCTTGTTTGGCTTGAGATACATGGTGCGGTAGCCCCGATGGTGTGTGGGCTTACTGCTCTTACAAATGACACGAGTGACGATGTTGCACATGGATTGTATATTAGAGTCGATATATTAGACGTTCCGGCAGGAGTCGTGAGTTTCAAACTAAATTAAGCACCAGTTTCAGCATCGAAAGAGCTTACCAGATACTAATTAGTAGTAAATGACGAGTCATGGCGAGTGTCCCACTTTGACATCGCATGAATCAGCTCGTGCTCGCCTGCCCGAATTAGGAAGTCGCCCAATCAGTCACGGTAGTAAACAGTAGTTCCCCCCTTATGTTATTTATGCCTTATCGGCGCTATGCTCGATCTCTCCCCGCCACACCGATCGAGCAGTTATCATCTAGTACTAAAGCTAAATCCCTTTCAATAACCAGTTTGACCCTTTCTTCCATCCAAAAGGTCAGGGCCGCCAATGTGTTCGGTACCCCAGAGAAAACTAAGGGCGGATAGGAAGCTGAGGGAGGGGGAAGAACGCAAAAGAAGGGCTGACGGAATCGCCGAAACCGCCGACTTCGATTTTCCGACGTCATTCAAAATGCGTGCGCCTTTCCTTTTCTCTCTTTTGCTTCCCCTTCAACCAAACACTTTGCGCATACAGGCGCCCCCCTTCATTAATTCACGTTCGCTTTATCTTTAAATACATGAAGGGAATAATAGGGAATTCGGATCAGATCTCGTCTCGCAATATGTCAACATGATTTACTAAAAGACAAAAACCTGAACAGCCAGATTTCCCCGCTCCATAACTACCTATCTACCTACCTACCTACCTATCTACTAGCCTTTTCGACAACACCCCCCTCCCCTTCATAAACACACGCGCGTGTGTGCGCGCAGATTCCAGACTTAATCAGCCGTGCGGCAGCGACAGCGACGACCTCACCAGCACCACCGAATAATAACGGATAACCATGGGTTCCAATCCACCACCACCCAAAGATCAGGATGAGGCCTCGTCTCCGCCCGAGGAACTCGATTACTATGCCATCCTTAATCTTCCGCGCTCTCCACCCCCCACGGAAGCTCAGATTCGGTCCGCGTATCGAACCCTCACGCTAAGTTTTCATCCGGATAAGCAGCCGGCGGAGTTGGCGGACTCTGCGCGACGACATTTCGATCGTATTCAGGAGGCATATGATACGTTGGTGGATCCGAAGAAGAGGGCTGTGTATGATGAATTGGGTGTGCAGGGGATGAAACAAGAATGGGTGATTCTTGACAGGATCGCCAAGGATATGAGGGTCGGGGTGAGGGCTATGTCTGGGGAGGAGTTTCGAGGGTGGTTTTTGGAAGTGATGAAAAGGAGGGAGAGGGCTGTGGTGGAGAGAATGGTTGGGTCGAGGGTGAGTTTTTCTTTTATTACTACTCCCGTTCTTTGGTCTCATGAAGGGGAGTAATGCGATTTATGGTTGTGCTAATAAATGCAAAATTTATAGGGCTCTATCACTATTGGGTTCGATGCCTCTAATGCCGTGTCCTACGATGAGGAGGAGGACGCCTTATATATTGAGATGCCGTCGCCGAGGCCCTCGAACTATGCACTGGGGTTCTCTTTCAAGGCGCCACTGCCGCGAATGGGCTTTTTCCTGGGAAGTGAAGGCGAGGATGAGAATGAGAGTGAAAATGATGAGGGCCATGAAACGAGAAAACTGTTCAAGGAGTACGGTGAGGAAACGGAGTTGACATTTAACGCGGGCATCTCGGGGGAGGTAGAGCAGATGCACCAGGAAGCCAACTTCAAATTCCCGGATGGCAGGAACGAAACTCACCTTGTATGTTGACTGAGTGATGAAACTTTCCATTGGGAAATTGCTGACGCTGTGTTTAGCTGCCGCTGCCGTATTTCTTGATCGCGAACCAGATTAATCTGGGAGTCGGGGCAAGCCAACTTTTTGGGGGACCTTACAGTGTTAAGGGCCTCGCAAAACCCCCGTTTGCGTTCATGCAGAACTCCGTCGTGAGTGTGAACGCTTCAGTGTTGCCACACCCATCGCTTGAGACAACCTGGACGAAGTCCTTCGTCCCTATCCCTGGCGCGAAACCCATCAGTGTGCAAGTCGATGTTGATTTTGATCGGTCGCCGCAACGGGCGCCCCCTCGTTTTGCTTTGAAGGTTACCAGGCAGATTGGTGATAGGAGGTTCTTGGTAAGTAGCTGGTCAAGCGGCTCCTTACTCTGGCCGAAACCTTTCCGCCACTTCTTTTTACCCCTCATAGAGTTCGGATTGAACGCCGAGACTGCAATGTCCGTTCCTACCCATCCCAGCTTCTTCCAAATCGGCGTCGTCTCTCAGCCCAAGCGGCAGATCTCCCCAGCGGATGCCGAGGAAGAGGTGGAAGGTGACGAGGAGGATGACGAGTTTGAAATGCTTCGCCGCCAGCAGCGCAAGGAAACTGGAGCTGCCGAAGCTTGGCAGACGAATGTGACAGCTACTCCGATGCAAACTACCTTGTCATTCGTTTATTCGCGCAATGTTTTCTCAGGGAAATCGGCCTACGAGCGTTTACGCTCGGAATGGAGCTCCGAAGGCCACCACCCTTTGCCGGAGGACAATGAGCCGCGATCTGTACGGGTTAATGTCGAAACTACCGTGGGGCTTGATTTGGCGCTTGGATGGCATATTGAGGGAACCCGCCAGGTTGGCGATTTCACTCGCATGGGTCTTGGTGTTGGTGTTCGGAATATGCAGGGCCTCGTCGTGACTGTGTCCTGGAGCAGGCTAGGCCAGAAGATCAGGGTGCCCATATCTGTTATCCCATTTGGCCTTGTCGATGTGGATGTAGCTGCAATGGCTATCATCTGCCCGTGGCTAGCGTACTGCGCGCTCGAATTTGGGTTTATCCGCCCAAGGGAGAGGAAGAGACATCGCCGGGCGATTGCCCGACGACAGAAGCAGCTGAGAAGGCTGGTGCCCAAGAAGCGGGCTGAGAGCCAAGAAGCCATCGATATTATGACCGAGCAAGTACAGCGCCGACAGGCGAAAGAGGCTAAGCAGGGTGGTTTGGTCATCGTTCGGGCTGAGTACGGTTACTATCCTTCGAAGAAGGACAGGGAAAGTGGCCGAGGATTGGAAGTCACTGATGTTTCCATCCCGGTGGCTGCATTGGTTGACCACGGACAATTGGCCATCCCTAAGGAAATGGCCAAGGTGAGTTTACGATTCCGTTCTACAGGTGGTGTTAGCAGTGCTAATTTGAGTTGACGCAGTCCCATATCCTCGGATTTCACGACCCGGCTCCGCTTCTGCCTAAGATGCTCAAGATATGGTACAATTACCATGGACAGGAGCATTACGTTGAAGCAAAGGAAACAGAAGACATTTCTTGTCCTATGCGTTCGCATCTATTGTAGCTGGGCATATCTATGTCTCCCTACTTTTCTTGATTTATATACATGCTGCACTACTAGCTTTTTGGCATCTCTCTCCATTCATGTTTGCATAAGGAAATGTGCACTATATCACATACATCCTCCCCTTTTGATAATCTCCCGGCGTCTGATTCATATATTGCATGCATTTGTCGATACGTTTGTGTATGTTAGCGAGAGCATTGGACGAGGACTAACACATAAAGTCGAGCTCTGGTGGTCTCCAGTGACACGGCGAGTCGACTCTCAACTTCAATCTTCACTCGAATATATACCAATCTACTCACATCAACTTTATCTCTAATTACATTAGATTTATTTCCAATAGACTACGAATCCAAGTAAACTTGTAAGGCGGTGACCGTTCACGTGACCCGCCCGGTTCCCGCTGCGCCAAAAGAAGCCAAGCCCATCTTCAACTCGCCATCGAAGAACCATTTCATCATAATCCTCCTCCACCAAACCTCTTCCCTCCCCCTCACAACTTCAGAATGGCATCCATAGCGGAGGGCCTATTCAAGTCTCTCCCCAAGCCGAAATACACCGGCGAGGAGGAAGAGCTACCACAACATGCACAGCCCCGAGGTCCGCGGGTCGTAGGCCCGGGACAACTCGACGAAACACAGATTGTTCTCCGGGTGGGTAGCACCGCATCCATACAAGATCCAATCCACATAAAGCTTTAGCCCACCTTCACTACTATAACTCAATGCTAATGATGATAATTATTATGGTATCTACAGAGAACCGGCCCCCCTCCCTACCAGAATCGAGCCGGATGGCGGCCCCGCGCCCCCGAAGACTTTGGCGATGGCGGCGCGTTCCCCGAGATCCTAGTCGCGCAGTACCCCCTCGACATGGGCCGGAAGGGCACATCCTCGACATCGAACGCGCTCGCTGTGCAGGTTGACGCTGAAGGAAAAGTCAAATACGATGCTATCGCGCGCCGCGGACACAGCGACAACCGGATCGTGCATGCCTCATTTAAGGATCTGATTCCGCTGCGCCAGCGCGTTGACATGGGCGAGGTGTCGTTGGATCGGCCGTCGGAGGAAGAAGTCCAGGCGCAGATGGAGAAGACGAAGAACGCGCTCGCCAGTTTGGTGGAGGGTGCGGCAGCGGCGCAGAAGCCGAAGAACGTGAAGGGTGGACGCAGAGCGGAGCCTACGTTTGTGAGGTACACGCCGGCTAATCAGATGGGTGATACGTCGAAGAAGAATGATCGTATTATGAAGATCGTCGAGAGACAGCAGGATCCCATGGAGCCGCCGAAGTTCAAGCATAAGAAGATCCCTCGTGGTCCGCCGTCGCCGCCTCCGCCGGTTATGCATTCGCCGCCGAGGAAGCTCACGGCTGAGGATCAGGAAGCGTGGAGGATTCCGCCGCCGGTGTCGAATTGGAAGAACCCTAAGGGTTACACGGTTCCGTTGGATAAGCGGTTGGCGGCTGATGGACGTGGACTGCAAGATGTGTCGATCAATGATAAGTTCGCGCAGTTTGCGGAGGCGCTGTTCACGGCGGATCGTCATGCGAGAGAGGAGGTCAGGTTGCGTGCTCAGATGCAGCAGAAGCTGGCGGAGAAGGAGAAGGCCCAGAAGGAGGAGCATCTGCGTGCGTTGGCGCAGAAGGCCCGCGAGGAGCGTGCAGCTGCTAGTAGCAGTCGGCGCGATTCTCGCGCTGGATCCCGCTCGCCTTCGCGCAGTGTCAGCCGCAGCCCATCGCCGTACTCGGCTAGTGAGGATGAGGATGCTGCTCGGGATCGCGAGCGCATGCGTCGTGAGCGTCGTCAGGAGGCAGAGAGACAGCTCCGTCAGTCGCGGATGGGTACGGAGAGACGTATCCAGATGATGGCACGCGAGCAGAACCGGGATATTTCCGAGAAGGTGGCGCTGGGATTGGCCAAGCCGACGCAGGCATCCGAGTCGATGTATGACTCGCGTCTGTTCAATCAGACCAGCGGCATGGACTCGGGCTTTAACGAGGATAACCCGTACGACAAGCCGCTGTTTGCCGCGCAGGACGCCATCAACAGCATCTATCGTCCACGGGCGCAGGCTGATGACGATGACGGCGAAGGCGCCGAGGGCGAGATGAGCAAGATTCAGAAGCAGAAACGGTTCGAGGTGCTCGGTAGAGCGAAGGAAGGGTTCCGTGGTGCTGACATAGCTGAGGTATGTCCCTCCTACTTACTCATTCAAGAAATAGACATACAACTGACACCAAATTAGGCTCGTGACGGCCCCGTGCAATTCGAAAAAGATACCACCGACCCCTTCGGTATCGACAGCATGATCGCCGACGTCACTAGCTCCGGTGCAGGCCAAAAGCGCTACGGTATCCAGGAAGTTGACCGTTCGGAACGGGGCTCCAAACGGGCGCGTGTCGATGATGATTAATTGTGTTGTTTGTGAATAATTATACCTTTATTATTTTTACACTTTAACATACGCGGGGTTTAGATATTTACCTACTACGTGCGCTGTGTCAACTGTACCTCAAATGGTTTTCTTGTTCTTTGCTTTTGGGGGGTTTTACTATGTGCATTGCTGCGGGCGTTGTGTGTGTGTGTGTTCACCCGGTTTATACTCTTGCTTTCATTTTTTAGTGTTGCAGAAGATAAAATGCAAAAAGTGGTGATTTACTCTGTTCTCACTTATGATAATCTGGGTTAGTTGGTGTGCTTATCATGGGTAAGTAAGTAGATTAGTTATAACAGGGTTGAACTAGTAGTAGTAGAAGACTCGGTCATTTTCCTATCTCTATCTATAGTTTACTTAAGAGGAAAATGCATAGTTAGTGCAGGCAGGATTTATGCCATCGCCACCACACTACAACTAACTACTAAACAAACTAAAATAGTAAGATAGTAACTATAAGACAAGACAAATCGCAATAATAGGACGGTACTTTACTCCGAAGAAATAGAAAGAGAACATCACCTCACCCCTTTCCCCGTCTCCACAGCTTCTTCAATTTAGAATAGTTCAGTGGTATGTGTATCTAATCCTCATAATAAATGTATGATTGCCTACAGAGTGGGTGGATAACCAAGTCAAAAGACACTAAAAGAACAAGATTCGATTCTTTTTTTTCTTGTCTTGTCTTGTCTTGCCATCCCGAATCAAATTCAAATCCCGATGTACGGGAATAGACCCACATAACTCAGTAGTCATGTTCAATAATAATAATAATCATCAGGTATAACTATATATGTACTTACTTTACTGTACTGTGGAGGGGGAGAAAGTAGAGAGATCAGCATGTACGTACCGTTGATGGTGTGGTGTAGGGGAGGGAAGTCACACGACTTGGGTTGTAAACTAGTGACTTATACTTGTTGGGACTAAGCTAGTGACTTACTTACTGAAGAAAACAAGGAAATGTATACGAGGATGATGGGTATGTGATTATCTGAGTATGTAGTGTGTGTGTGTGTGTGTGTGTGTGTGTGTGTGGAGGAGGGAAGGGAATCTTGGAAGTGCGGGATCAAGTGATTTGGATGTGGGTTCAATTTGTGAACATGACTACTACTACTATTACTTGGGATGGAAGAAGAGAGGGAGTGAAATGTGGCTAGAAGTGGCTGGTGATGGTGGTGGTGGTGGTGGTGGTGGTGGTGGTGGTTGTTGTTGTTGCGTGTGATGAGAGGATCTATTCTGGTACTGTTACTACCTAGCCTGGAGTATGATGTCTGCCTGCTACTGTGTTGTTGTGTACAATGAGATTTACCTCATCCAGTCAGTGATTTGATGCAAAAGTAGACGAATCATAGTCATTAGAGAGAGGAATAGTGGCTGAGCTGATTAAATGACTGATTCACGGAGTACTCAGGCCACAACTACAATTGTATAATACTCTCACTGTATGCATGCATGCAGACATCAGACCACAAGATGTCGGGTCGATCAGCCGGATAATCACACTGATTGGATGGTGGACATCCCAAATCGACGACGTACAGGAGGGCTGGGGAGCGTTGATCTAATCGAGCAGATAACGAGAGCCAATGACCCGCGCAGTTGCGAGTCATCTTGTTTGAGATTGATGGCCACCTTCGGAACTTTGTTGCTGCTGAGAAGGAGGGGATACTGACGATCGGGTTGGTTTCTTAGTGGTAGCGCTCCAAGCGCATCGGAGGAGAGACGCTGCTGGCTGGCTGGCTGGCTGGCTGGCTGGCTGGGAGAGAGTTGTGGTGATGAACGATAGGGAGGGGGGTCGGTAGGTTTGATCCGAGGGTCCAAGATAAGAAAGAGTGGTTGAAGGTCGGGATGTAAGTGGTGGGTTGCATGGGCTTGATTTCAGTCCGGGCTGGGAATGGGAGGATCGTGTCGTGTCTTGAGGATAGAAAGTTATGAAAATGAGGAAAGTCTCATCCTTGGGTTGCCATTACCAGGGTTCTGAATGGCTCAAATTTTTGATGGTAAGTTCGCTGCAATAGCACCTGAAATTATGCCCTAGGGGGCCCGTCAGTTCAGTTGTATCCATAGCCATTGTTCCGTTGGTCATGCCGGAATGGAACAAGATCCACTGTTAGAGTACACCGTAACCGTGTTTGCTGATGGTGCTGGTGCTGGCGCCTGGTGGAAGCGATAACGAGTCCATGAGCCCATTCCGACCTTCCCCTTAGTCTAATACTTTGTAGTAGTAAATTGCTGACTAGTGCCTCATCTACGAACTTCATGGTTGTGCTTCTCAGAATGCAATGCAGGATCATCTGTGTGACCGGATGGATGGAACTGGAGCGACCGTGGTGCCTGACTAGCTTACACTCCCACACGTTCATCGCACAACATCCTTGCCCCTGGAAAGTGCGGGGAGCCGATGAGCAGCAGCAGAGGAAATCCTGCCTCGCTCTGACCGTCGAATCCTGCTCCCGCCAGACATCAGCCATTAGATTAATGCTCGATCCGTGCGCCTGAATGATGCACCGGAGAGCACAGGGCAACGTCGGTACCGGCGCCTAGCGCGGGGTGGCGATCGAGGGGATTTGCTGGTGCTGCTGATAAGGTGCTGGGTCGGTGGAGCTGGAGATAAAGCCGAGACGTTGATTTGGGTGTGTTCCCACGGATGGGGTTA